AAAGTCACTCCTTTATCAAGGAATCCAAATGGAGAGAAATGTGATCCCCCTCTGCATCCTGCTATATCCTGTAGCAGAGGTTTGCCTGATGCACTGGTCTGGCAGTGCCAGAGACCACATACTTGAGGGAGGAACTCCATATTATCCCAAGAGTTGCTCCACCAGCCAGTGCACAACAGGAATAGCAGTCATTGGCAAAGGGGAGATACTCTTTGTTCCCACATAACTATTTTCAGTACAAATAATCCCCTATCCAGACATGAACTAAAACAGGGAGAATTTCAGAACCCTTCTGCTTGCTGCTAAGATCTGTGACAAGCTGGTAAAGCTGAATATCAAAAAATCCTGGGCTGTAACAGGCAATTAACTGAGGACTTCTGTCATTTCTGACCATCTACACTGAGAAGAAGGTTGGAAAGAAGGCAAGAGAGGTTCTTTCCATCCAAGCTTTCTCCTTAGGAAAGCATCCTATTCCCTGTGTGCTTGTCTAGACGTGTGGCAAGTACAGGAATGTAGGTGTTGCCACACCAAATTGAAGACCTGAGGTCCAAGGAGCTCAAAATCCTCTCTTAGACAGTGGCCAGCACCATGTACCTCTGGAATGGGGTGATGCTCTCCTGAAGCACACAGAGCTGGCCCAACTCCTCGGAGCTGCCCCAGTCCTCCTTGTAGGGATTCAGGAGGCTTCAAATAGCAAAGACTGTTTTAATCCCAGAAACATGAGGAGTAGTAGTTTTTCAAACTGTTTGATGCAGCTGCAGGAACTCTGAATTCACTGACTAAACCACAGAAATGTCCTAACCTCACGTGCAGGATAACCAGCCCCAGAAGTCCTGACAAATCCAGTGGGAACAATGGGGGTAAAGCAAGTGAGAAAATCCCATCCAGTGACAAGTGTTAACTGGGATGGCTGCTCTGGCCTCACCAGTTAGTTGACAGCTTGACTCCTGCAGATCAGCTCCTACTAGAAAAAACTTTTCTGTTTCTCGAGTATAATCCTGCTTAACTAAGAAAAGGGCCCAAAATATCCTGTTTCATTGAATATTTTAGAAAAAAAGGAAAATAAATAATCTATTTTGCTTTGAAATACCCAACCCTGCTCCTGTAGCTTTATCTGTATCCCCAAGCCCATTTTACTCAAGAAATCATTTAACAAATGCAAGTGAAATAAAGAAGTATATTAGGTAATGGAATTAGGTAATGGAATTTCACTTTGTCTGGACAACAGGTAGCAAAAAGCACTTAAAGAGAATACCAAGTGAAATTATAGTTGAGTGCACACACATCTTGAGCTCTTAAATTGAATACACTGATGAATTTTAAAGGAATTGGCTCAGCAGCTTACCAAAGCACTGGGAATTCAGTTTTGAACAGTTATGGGAAACAGAAGTCATAGGACATTCATAGGTGGAAATGGGGTGTGTGGGGGGAATATTGTAATTATTGTTTGTTTTTAATTAAAAATAGCAGTTTGAACAACTTACAATTCATTGCTCAGATATTGTAATTATGGTTATAATAAGCAAGTCTGAACAGAAAAGTAAAAGAGCAGGATAAGTAGCAGAGCCTAAGGTTGGAAAGGGGATAATAAAAATATGAGCGATAGAGAATATAATTTCAGACAGAGAACATGATAATTTCTTCACTAAAACTTCAGAATTCCTGAGTACAGAGCTACAGATACTAGAGTAAATATAATGAATTTTAGCACAACAATTTCAAAGAAATAGATAATTTATCACTAAGTTTCCTACAGCAGGTCAGACTTCTTAATTCATACATACACTGCTTGAACCAGTCCTTATTTCTTTCACAGTGTCAGGCCATCTGTCTGCCTGCAGATCCTGTGCTGTGATAACATCAGGTCCCAGGGACAGGTGTGCAATACTGCTCACACGTCACTAGAAATCTTTATCCCACATAAGTATGAAGTAGCACTCATCCACTGGAGTCTGCAAGGAGCTTTTGTGCACCCCAGAATGGTGCCTCTGATGGCTCAGTGCTTTTGGATTTGGCACGATGGCTGAATAATCAAATAATAATTTCTATCTTTAAATATTTCCTTTGCTCAAAGTACTGAGCAACAATAAAAAAAAAAAAAAAGAAAAAAAAAAAAAAGTAAATTGTTTCTTTCATAATTTTAGGTATTGAAACTGCCTGTGAGAGAAAAGTGTTAAGTCTGATGTGCTGCTCAAATTCCAGAGGCTCCTTCACCTGCCTGACAACTGCTTCCAATTGCGTGATGATTAAATGTGCCAAGGGAGCATGCCACTCACCCAGCCCGCCCTGGGATGCTGAAACATCGAGTGCCAAGAGCAGAGAGAAACATTTTGTCTTGTTTTTGCATAATACAAGTTTGTGGCTACAGTGTGCCGCTATCGGCAATGGGCACAGCAGCTCTTCAGGAGTGAAACTGCTGTGGAATTCAGATGCAAAAGTATTTGTTTGCATTAGGACAGACACCAGGGCTGGGCAGGCAGGGCAAAATGAGTAAGCTCTTCCTGTGTTTTCTGGTGTTTTTCTCTGTTTAAGCAGGCCAGTACACAGGTGTGACAAACAACAGTGTTTTAACCACTGGCAGAAGGAAGCATTTCCTGCTGCCCATCTGCCAGGAATATGGTTTTCTTCCATGCAAAATTGTTTGCAGAATATGAATGCTTTGTGCAGGGAATCATGGATGAGTCCACTTCTTAATTCAGGTCATGCAAAGTGAGATACAGACTCATATAGATACAGTGTGTGAAAGGGCTGGTGCAGTTGTGTGAAGAGGAGAAAAGGTAAAATAGCACTTCCTAAAGCCAGAAAAAAAAATCACTGCTGTCCTCTAGCAAGGAAGCAGGGAAGCCAGGGACACCCTAACCATCCAAAATGAAGAGGTTGTTCAGACAAAAAGGTTGTGTCCTGTTCAATCAACAGCCCAACAAGAGGAAATTGGATTCCTTTAACCAAAAAGCTGCCTGGAATTTTTCTCACTGTTAGGAAATGTAAGGAAGGGTGTGAACACACAGTCTAATACAGAATTTCCTGTTCTTTTCTTTATACCTGACTCCTTTTGGCAAAAGGCAGGGTTAAAATTATAAACTGAGACACACCAAAATTTTACACTCTCCAGAGCAGCTGCAGCTGGCTTGCACTAGTGTGCATACAAATTCTCTTTTGCACAACTCACATTGAATTCACTGTGACTGTTCAGGAAAATGCATTAACAATGCATAAGATGCAAGATCTGGCTGCCACATAGGGTGTTTGCTCCAGCATGTTCCAGTAAGAGTTACACAAGGTTATTTACAAATACACATTTTAATTTCTAATCTTAAGATATACTGTCTTTGAAGTTTCAGAAGCTGCACAGGACCAGATCCAGAATTATGTGGGCACCTAATTCCCATTTAGATCCAAATTGATATAACTGGAGCTCAATGCCTGGGTGCTACGAAGGTATGAACCTTAACAGTAGTATTATAAATTTCATAGTAACAAATGATTGAATCACAGAGAGCCATTAAAGTTGAAAAAGCCCTCTAACATCATCAAGTCCAACCATTAACTCAGCCCCATCAACCCACACCTAAACCATGTCCCCAGGTACCACATCTAAATAACTTTTTAATACCTCCAGGGATGGTCACTCAAACATTTCCTGGACAGCCTGTGCCAGTGTCCAACCACCCCTTCCATGAGTACCTTTTCCCTAATATGCAACTTAAACCTCTCCCGGTGCAACGTGACACCATTTTCTCTTATTTATTGCTTGTTACCTGGAAGCAGAGCTCAACTCCACCTGGCTGCACCCTTCAGTCAGGGAATTGTAGAGACTGGTAAAGTCATCCCTGAGCCTCCTTTTCTTTAGGCTGAGCCTCTCCCAGCTCCCTCAGCTGTTCCTGGTGCTCCAGACACACCACCAGCTCCACTGCTCTTTTGTGGACATGCTGGGAGTGTAAATGTCATCTCACTGCTGTGCAATCTCTACCTCCAGTCATCTTATACCCTTTTCTCAGATAGTGGAGAGAAGCTGTCAGTGCCCAGTTTACCTCATCCAAAAGCAGATACCTACACTAGGTAGAAAATTCCATCCAAAAGTGATTGCTTTATTCCACAGAGTATTCAGGCAGCTTGGGATCACCAGCTCAGCTGTGCCCACCTGGGCACAGCCTCAGCCTAACATTTCAGTTTCATATCAACCCTGAACAGAAAAGATGGTTTTGGGGGAAACAACAGTATCTTTAAATAGTTCCAAAAACAAACATGACACAAAAGGCTTGCAGAGTTATGTTTGTGTAAATGCAAGCATATGTTTCTGCATTTGTTTTCATATTAATGTTGTTTTAGTATCTATTTCATTACTAGCATTCAAAAGGACTTAATGATACACTGATAGTGCACATTACAGTCCTCCCACATGAATTGTTCCCGAACATAGTGATAATGCTCTTCAGCACCATATGCATTAGAAATATTTATTCATTTGCCTTCATGGGAATATAAGGCAGAGCCTATTAAATCAATAACTATGTAGAGGGTTTTGTTTTTCTATTAAGCATCCAAAATAAAACTGACAAACTGATTAAACGGATCACATCTTGCTGCTCCCAAAGTCTGCTTTATGGGCTGGTCCATGGTATTAATCAAAAGCTGAGCCAGAGGAAAACATTGATCAAACTCTTTCAGAGAATAATAGAGTCAGACCCTTCAGTGGTGTAAAAGGGAATAATTTAGTATCTCTATCTCAGTTTATATTGGCTGAATGTCTAGTCCACAGCTTTACGCCGACAGCTATTTTTTAAAAAATCTGTGTATTAGACAATATGAATTTTCACTTTGCTATTCACATCAGAGTAAAAGATTTAGAGAGCAAGTTCTTTAAGGCAAAGATTTCCCCAGCTGTCTATCACAGGCTGTGTTAATATTTAACATCCATACATTGGAGGAGAAGGAGATTTCCCCACCCCTAAAAGGGTCATAATGCTGAAGGGTCCCTGCACCTGTTTTCCATTGTGCTCTCAGCACGATGTGCTCATCACTGACTGTAAAAACACAACTCTGGGCTCCTCAGAGTGAAACTCTGCATCAGAGTTGGGGCCAGGGAGGAATTTCCCAGAGGTCGCAATGATGGGGCTTTTTTTCTCTTTCTTTGTGGTAAGTGGCACGGTCTGCTTCGAGGATCACCTGAGATTTTGCTGATCTCACCAGCTCACAAGCACCTGCATTCACCCAGCTACTGTTCCCACCACCCCTGTCCCAAATCACAGGGCATTTCCCCAGAGCCTAAAATACAGAATAAAACCCACAAATACAGTGTAACAACAGGAAGAAAGACGCAAGAAGCCTAACAGGTAAGAACTCTTTTCAGTCATGTTTATTTTCATGCCATCTCATCAAACAGGATATTTATGTCCCTGATAAGACTGTTATCTATAAAACCATAATCACAGAACCAAAAAATGGTTTGGCCTGGAAGGGCCTTAAAGATCATCTACTTCCAACCCCCTTGCTATTGGCAGGGACACCTTCCACTAGTCCAGGGCATGCTGGAAGCGCTGGCTGGGACCTGGCAGAACACAGGCGGCCAAGGCAGCGGCCAAGGCAAGATAAGATTCTTGTCACCTCTACTGGACATTGAATTTCAGGATGACTGTAGTCTCATGCACAAAATCAAATAAATTACTTCCTCAAAAGGGTCCTGTGACTAATTTTACATAAACTGGTGCTTATTTTCTTATCTCAGCACTATAGGATACATCCAGCACAGTAATTAGGAAGACAGATTCTCCTTGTAAACATTTTCTGCACTTGTGTATATTTTTTCCCTGTGGGACCATTAGCAACAGAGCAGTAAATCTACAAGATCTATTTCCCATATGAGCACGAGGCTCTGTAGTTTGCCAGGTTACAAGAAATATAATTAGGACTCCTTTACCTGACAGATTAATGAGTTGAACAGCAAAGGCCAGATAGCAGTAAATTAAACACCTAAACACTGTGATCTCCGCATGTAATAGAATGGTGAAATAGCACATCTTTTGTAATGGCCTTGGCCATTTCAACACATAAATTCCTTATAACATATCAGTTTTATGGTACTTTTTTATTGTACATTGGTATAAATATTTATGCTTTTAGCTTGCCTTGCCAGTAAATATTTACCATTTTGTTCTAAATGGTGACAGCCTTGGGTTCGTCCACACAAAATGCTGCATGGATTTGTCACGTGAATGCATTTAATGAGCCACTGAGAATGTGCATTTGGCAATAATCACCTTTTAGAAGAACTAACAAATGCTCAACAAGCTGCTTGTTAAAGACAGAGCTTCCGATGTGGTGAGAACACAGACGTCCGTCGTCGGAGGCCAGCCTGTGTGATTAGATCAGATTAACACGCGCTTGGGGAGGAAAGAATAAAAGACAATGAAGAAACACATCTCTGCTAAAGTGTTTAATCCTGTTTCAACAAGAAGTAGTGGGATTATGCGATTTTAGAGGAAAATTAAATAAAGAAGCCTTGCTCGAGTAATTTTCTACTTACAATGAGGTTTTTGCCTATTGATGCCCTAAGAAAAACTTAATTTTATTTGTGATTAGATACAAAATTCTTTTTGCCCGTGGAAGTTAGGAAAAAGAAATGGTTATGGTTTAATTTGCATCATAATGATGCCAAAAGAACCAAGTCGGAGCACAAGGTGAAAAACTGAGTTAGAGAAAAAATTGCTTTCTCACATCTCTTAACATTTCCCAATATCTTACCATTTAGGTATAAAATGAGATGCAAAATCTGACTCAGAGGATGATCAACAGCAAAGATGCATGATATGGCTATAACAACAACAACAATAATAATAATCATATTTTTTAAAAAGACTTGCTAGTAGTACTCAGCTTTTCAGTCCTCATCTTTCAGAGAGATCCAGAGAGACCGCAGTGCGGTCATGCTCCGTGCAGGCAAGTTCTCCGCAAACACATACTCCAGCAACTTATTAGCTACCTTGATTTCCTCAGGGTGGGATTCATCTCACTTAATTAGCCATTCCCATGCCAGCACTCTGCACAGACCCCTGTTTGCAGGCTCCCCCCAGCCACAGGAGAGCCGACTACCTCCAGAGAGCGATTTGTTTTGCCCAAAGACAGAGCAAATGCCCCCAAGAAGGTGCCTCCATCTCCCCAGGGTCATTAGTGATGGTTTTAGACCAGACACCTTGGCTTTAGACAGCTTAGGTTAGGTGAGAGAAACCCTACCCTGCATGTGGGAGCTGATCCTGCTTCCCTGTGTGGCCACATTGTTCTGCTCAACAAAAGAGTCTTTCTTTGGGGTGAGGCTCAGAATGGACATCCCAATGAAGGGAGGCCAAAAGCGCTTCCACTGGAAATTATTTACAGGAAAAAGAGCTTTTCCAGATTTCTCACGGCAAAAAAGTTCCCTTCAAACTTCTCAAAAAAAACCCCCAAACTCAAGGTCAGCATATAATTTCCCATCCACCCAGAGCCAGGTACTTCAGAGGCCTAAAAGCCCCAAGGGCTCCATGAGAAAAAAGTGAATTGATGTTCCTCCACATACAAAGTTTCATAGTTTACTGAGGTTTTCATGCATGTGCTGACAGTGTGTGCTCAGAAGATGCTCAGCAAATCAGTTCTTCCAATCCTGCAGATACTATTACCATAGATCATGGAATTAAAATACAGCAATTCTAGTAAAAAGCAGGAGAGTTGCACCAGTGTCACCCCAGCATGGTATGAACTAGCATAGAATAGAATCACCAAATTATCTGGGTTGGAAGAAACCTTTTAAAAATTCATCTTGTCCAACCCTCCTGCCATGGGCAAGGATATCTTCCACTAGATCAGGTGGTTCACAGCCCCATCCAACCTGGCCTGGAACACTTCCAGGGATGGGGTACACACAACTTCTGTCACTCAACACCATAATTGTAAAATAATTTCTTCCTTGTATGTAGTCTAAATCAACTCTCAGTTTAGAACCATTACATTATTCCTTGTTTTATTTCTACAGGCCATGCTAAAAAAAATTGTTCCCATCTTGGTTACAAGCTCTTCAAGTAATGAAAAGCTGCAGTAAGGTCTTCTCAGACCCTTCTCTTTCCCAGACTGAACAACCTCAGCTCTCCCAGACTGCTCTCACAGGAGAGGTGTTTAATTCCTCTGATCATTTTCTTGGCCCTCATTTTGGCCAGCTCCAACAGGACAATGTCATTCCTATGCTGGGACTCCAGAGCTGGATGCAGCACTGCAGGATGGGGACTGTCACCAGAGCAGAGCAGAGGAACAGAATCCCCTCCCTGGACCTGTTGCCCACCTACTTTGAATGCAGCCTAGGATACAATTGACTTTCTGGCCTGTGCAATATGCACTGTCAACTCATATCATATCATATCATATCATCATATCACCTCATATCATATCAATCATGTATCATATATCACTAGGTGTTATCAGCATAAAACCTCTGTAGCCTAAATCCTAAATTCCCTAAATCCAGGTTACTTCTAGCATAGCAAGCAGAGAGTGTCACCCCAACATTTAAAGTGACCTGAAATAAAACCTCAAACCAGTTGAGATAAAAATACAGTCCAGCAGTCCAAGGCCAAACCAGGAATTCCATAGTTTTCATATCTGAATTTCCATCCAGATTTAATTCAAAGTAGAAGCTGCCTTTCCTCTTATGGACATCAATTTTGGCCACTTCCTGCCCCCATGATGGGTACTCCTCTGCAGAAAAAAGAAATTAAACTTCATTTGCAAAGTTTATGAGGCACCTTTGAAAGTGCCAGTGGAGAGGGACACTTAAAAGCGCATGTAATAAATTGTGTCTGTGTGTTTTTTGCCATTTGGGACATGAACTTCACAGGACTGTCCCTGCCATGCAGTTGGAGCCCATGAAGAACTGCAGAAATGCTTTGTAGGCGTGCAAGGGTGTGGGAAGTGGATGGCTCAGAGCTGGATCCCCTCCAGTTCAGGGATGGATGTGCCCCCATTCCCCACACTGCAAGGCACTTCCCAGCCTCCTGGGTGTTTGCAGAACCCTTTCAGCTATAACTGGTATTTTGCTGAAACCCAGAATTCCACTTTTGGAGGTGTCTAGGTGCCTGCTGAGGTTGTCTAGTACAGAAAACACCTGTCTCCCTTTGATGCCACTGGAGTTAGTTCCCCACCTCCACTAGCACTGGGTTCTGAGGGCAGCCCGAGGGAAGTGGGTTCCTGTTCCCGCTGCTGTGGGAAGTTCACTAACCACGAGCTGAACCATCTGCTGGAGCCCTCCCAGAACCAGCAACCACCACACCACAGGCCAGAAGCTGTAAATGGGGGGTGAAAGGGGCCCCAAAGCCCTGGGAAGTGGGGAGAGAAGAGAAAAGCAAAACTGAAAGACAAACCCACTGTAGATGTGAGCATCGGACGTGGATATCCGTAAGCAGGCATGTCTCCTGAAGAAGCCCTCAGGCAGGCAGTGCTGGTGGGGTGGGGGCACCCTGCAGCCCAGGGGTGCTCCTGGGGCTGTGGCAATGCCGTGCCCTGATGTGCCTCCTCAGGGGAGTGGCAGTAAGGATGCATCCAGAGGGATTCAGAGACTGCATGCCACACCTCAGAGACACCACAGCAGCTTGCACTGCACTGCTCTGCTGCTCATTGGCACTAGCAGTGCTTTCTGAGTGAAGTGTTGGAAAAGGATTAGGCTATCCTGAGACAAGAGCAGTGTGGGCACCAAACAGGACAGCATTGCTGCACCACATCCCTCATCTGCACTCCCTGCAGAATCTGCAACAAGCATCCTCTGGCACAAAGTTCATTGGACTCTGCCCCCAGACAAACAGGGGTTATTTTTATTGCCACGACTTGATGTATATAAGGCTGGCTTTTAAAGCAGCCTCTTTATCCAGCTGCTAAAAGAGCAAAGGGTGACCACCAGCATTTTAACAATCCTGCAAAACCAGGTGTAGATGGAGTGGGATTTATTCAGCATTTTACTGAGTTTTTGTGAAATAAAAACAACCAATCCCCAGACCGAGGTGCAAAGTCAGGCACCGCCAGCAGCTCCTGGAGGAGACCAGCCCTGCAAAACCCTGAGCAGCTCAGGTTGTGCTTTTCTCCCCTTTGATGCCGGGATGTTTGCAGGTCGTGGTGGCGGGGGGAGGACGTGTGAGACCGAAGGGACCTGTTTTGGCTTGGTCTGCGTGGGCGACCCGCGGCGACCGTGGGTTTCGGTTTGTGTGAGCTCGGCCTGTGCTAGGCCCTGCTTGCGCAGAGGCCCCGTGGGAGCGTGGGTGGCACAGAGTGCCCGTGTGTGACAGACTGCGTGGGCTTGTGTGTGACAAACTGTGTGGGTCTGTGTGTGACAGACTGCGTGGGTCTGTGTGATGGGTGGCACAGAGTGTCTGTGTGTGACAGACTGCGTGGGCTTGTGTGTGACAGACTGCGTGGGCTTGTGTGTGACAAACTGTGTGGGTCTGTGTGTGTGACAGACTGTGTGGGTCTGTGTGCTGGGTGGCACAGAGTGACAGACTGCATGGGTCTGTGTGTGACAGACTGTGTGGGTTTGTGTGCTGGGTGGCACAGAGTGACAGACTGCGTGGGTCTGTGTGTGACAGACTGTGTGGGTCTGTGTGCTGGGTGGCACAGAGTGTCCCTGTGTGACAGACTGCGTGGGTCTGTGTGCTGCGCTACGCGAGAGCTTGTCTGCGAGCACGTCCCGTAAATGCGTCTACTGGTAAAGGGAACCGTTTCATAACACCAAGAAAAAAGTAAATAATAATTGTAATAGTAATAGTAATAGTAATAGTAGTAGTAGTAGTAGTAGTAGTAGTAGTAGTAGTAGTAGTAGTAATAATAATAACAATAATAATAATATGATATGCATTGTCTGCTGACACTTCAGGCTGATGCCCAGGTGCTTCCCAGCCCAGACTGTGCTGCTGCAGAGGCAGAACATTCCCCAGCCATAAAGATGACCAGAACATGCAGTTCCTCCCCAAACTAAAAACTTGTGTTTGGAAGCAAGCAGCGCTTTGTTATATCATCTCAGCGTCTGACCTCACACAGCTTTAAAGCAAATTAGTTAGTGTTCCTTTTTTCCTTTTTTAATGAAAAAAATCAGACAAGTCATCCCATCCTCATTTCCATAAATGCTAAGAAGAATATATTTTCCCCACTTTTACCTGCTGTCATTTCCATATAAATGTCAAAGCCAAGAGGGTTCCTTGGACATACATTAGCACAATTGATGGGGGAAGTTAACCTTGTCCTGGGCCTGAGGGCAATAAAACCTCTGCTGGCTCTGCTGAGCAAGGCGAAAGGGAGGAAATCTTTAGTTTCACAGTGTGCCCAGCTGTT